AAGATGATTGCTTCGACTAAAGCACTTTCAATGCTGCATGGTTTCTCTCCATATATGTAAAATTACATAATTATGAAAGTTCGATCAAATCCCACACATTCATAAGGAGGAGCATAATGAATCTTCCCACATTTTATACACTCTGATTTCTCCCTTTGTTGCTTCATTTATAGGTAGATCTGCTTTGCTAATGCTTTTCGCATGTTGCACGGATTTCTATGCACCATCGTCTGCACAGTGTGAATTCTTTGTTACTGAATAAGATCTGAACTCATTCCACTTCTTTCTACCACTTTCTAACAGTCTATTCCACTCCGCTCCCCCCACTAAATGTTCTCCCTCATATTCATCTGGTTTCTTTCTTTAGATTTTTTCTTCCATGTATATTAAGCAGGGGCATCATTTGCACTATGCAGTAACTTATAATTTCCCAATAATTTACTATATTAAATCTCCAAAATGAGAAATATAGTTAATAATCAGGGTATACCCAAAAAATTTTTTAAAGCTGTATTAAGATAAAAAGCACCGAGAGTCACAATCATGTCAGTAAGACGAAATTTCTCAAATTTACAATGCCATAGTCCCCTAAAATCTCAAATACGAATGACCTTTCTCATCACCTTGATATCACAAAATAATACAGTGGCACTAAAGTGACATTGAAAACCTTGAGAAATGCAGTGATTTGGGAATGTAGTAATAATAAAAGATTTTGGTTGCTTTAACTCAGAGAAATGAAGACATAAAGAGAAATAGCTTGACTGAACTCCTTCCTCCCTCAGCAGGATTAATGCAATTTTGCATCCGGAGACATACTAAATAGACATGTACATATAAACATTTGGAGAATTTTCACTGATAAACCACAGCTATGTACATTGGGTTATATGAAAAAAAAATCAATAGCTTAAGTATGTTATGCGGTTTTGCTGTCCGCATCAGGGTGGGCCACTCATGGGGTCTCGACAGGCGAGAGTGAAGACAAACACGCAGGTTTTCCTCGAGGTGAGTGAGCCCAGAGCGTGTTCTGAACTACTCTTTTATTGGGTATTACAAATCAGGAAGCAGGTGGTGGGGGCATATAGCCTTTTATAGTCATGCAACAGCTTTAAGC